ACATGCATGATAACAAGACATAACACTTCAGATGAGGTGCTGCCTAATTTAACATCTTCCAGAACCAAGAGTCCTAGTCATAAGATTGGGTGTTGTAAATCGAAGGAGTTGGGTGCTAAGCAGAGAAAGACTGCCCAAAAGAAGATGGTTGATAGGACTAGCAATCATATTTCTGGAGTTCAAGTCAATCTGGGAAGAGGATCTGAAGATTTTGACAAAAAACAAGCATCTGACTGTAGTAGAAGTTGTTCGTATTTAGCTAAAACTAGGAAAACGTGTAATGTGGCTGGTTTGGATCACCATGAAAAGGCTGAAACTCCTAAACAGGGTGATATACAATTGCCTGCTCAGTGCCAAAAGAAATCTTCTTCAAAGTCAAAGAAACAAAAACCAAGTAAGGTTGATATCCCTAAAGAAGTATCAACCATCCAGAGTCCGGCAGATGAAAATATGATTCAACAGAAGTCCTTACTTCCCATTCCCTTAGCTCATGACAGTGGTGCCAAACAGGTCAGTAAAGGATTGATTAAACGTGCTAGGGAAGTAAAGTCGGCTACAAATTTGAAAAGTGAAAAAATCGCAAATTGTAAGAAAAAGATTAAAGTTTCTTTTAGTGGTGACACAAAAGGCGGGTTGGCTGTAGACCAACGGCAGCAGCAAGGAAATAGTGATGTCTCTCCTGAGAGACCAAGTGAAAAGGCTCATGGGAGTACCACTGTTGAAATTGCAGACGGTTCAACAGTAAAGAAATCGCCTTTAGCAAATGGAGCAGCCTTGGATAAAAGTGAGACCATTGAAAAAAAAACACTGTGCTTTCTGTCTCTCTATGGAAGACTCTGAGGTTAGATTTTTCTTTGATGTAATCAAAGTAACTCATCTTTTCTGTCAAATTGCTGAATCTTATTTGCTAAATAAAATTGCAGGCTACACGAGAGATGGTTCATTACTACGAAGGAAGGCCTGTTCCTCAGGGTTACAATGGTGGCTCTAAGGTTATACATTTACACAAGAACTGCACTGAATGGTAAAAGCTTTTTTAATCAATTGAACTCACTTGATTTAGACTCTTTGAACTTGTAGCTTCTGCATTGTTAGTATAATATAACGTGAAATTATTTTGCAGGGCCCCTAATGTTTATTTTGAAAATGACAAGGCAATCAACCTTGAAGCTGAACTCTCTAGAAGTCAAAAAATAAAATGCTCCTGTTGTGGACTCCAAGGTGCAGCATTGGGCTGTTATGAAAAGAATTGCCGCAAGAGTTTCCATGTTCCCAGTGCAAAATTAGTCTCACAGTGCCGGTGGGATACTGTAAGTATGATACAGATTGAGCAGCTTTCTGTGTTTGCTATGATTTTTCATTTTGAAAAGTTAAGACAATGTATTTATTTTGGATCCCAATAGGATAACTTCGTTATGTTATGCCCTCTTCATCCCTCTTCTAAGTTGCCTAATGAGAAGTCAGAATCTCAAGGAAGTAGAAAAAGAAGTTTTTTAAGAGGGTATGCAAAACATTCACTCAGCTCATTCTAGTTTCCTGACACTTCACCATTTCATGCTCATGAAATTTTCATCAAGTTCTTGATTCATTTCCAGACATTTGCCAATTCACCATAATGAAATTCCTACAAACAAAGACGTCCGTGTGCAGAAGAAATGGAGCCCTTGTGAATCTCAAAACAAATTGGTTCTATGCTGCTCGGCTCTTACAGTTGAAGAAAAGGTATGGGTTTCTGACTAACAACAGCCTATTGTGCTTATGCTTTTTTTTCCCCTCCATTCAGAGAAAGGCCTTAACATTTACTCTAAATCTGTTAAACTACAGGAAATCATATCTGAATTTAAAAGGTTAGCTGGTGTTACAGTGTTGAAAAGATGGGATTCAAATGTCACCCATGTCATTGCCTCCACGGATGAAAATGGAGCATGCAAAAGAACCCTTAAATTTTTAATGGGTATCTTGGAGGGGAAGTGGATCCTGAATATTAATTGTCAGTGTACCTTTTAACGGCAAAAACTGCATTATAGTTTTAACTCTTTTATAAGACTGTGCCTACTGCATATTCTGTAATTATTTGCTATAGTTTGCAGAAATGCATATGCCTATAATAATCACAGCTTGCGTTTTGAACTTCTATTTGTGAAGGGGACAAAGCTTGCATAAAAACCATGAAACCTGTTGACGAGTTACCATATGAAATTAGCATCGACGTTCATGAAATCAGGGATGGTCCACGACTCGGAAGGCTGAGACTCCATAACAAGGTTGGTTCCTCTTGATCTCGGCTTTTCAAATGCTCATGATCTGTTATAAATAATTATTTTCATTCTTCATTGGCCATGTTTCTTCCGACCTTTTGTTTACCGGTAACTTTTCAGTGTCATCTACCAAAAACCTAAATTTTATGTAATATTGACTATTTCTAAAAGATAAGATGTAGGTTGGGATGACAATTTAACTTGGAATTGATTGATTCTAACCCGACTTGATTCTATAGGATTGATATTTTTTAAGATTCGGCTTTGACTTGGGTTAGGTCATAATTTTATAAAGGGTTGGATTGGGTTCATGTTTGCGTGAAAAATCTTGACCTAACTTGACTCGGGGTAATGATATAATTTTCTTATATAAATTTAGGGATAATTATTCTAATATCACATCTTGTAGTTTTTTCTCTTTAATTAGGTCTCTATTTTACTGAATAAAAATGATTTTTATATATTTTATTGGGTTATAAGTGAGTTTCTACCTCAAAATTTTGGATTTGATTGAGTTTGGGTGAAGGGAATGTACTCTTGAGTCGGGTTCAAATGGAGGGTGTATGCTTCGCTGGTTAGATCGAGTTGACAAAAATCTCGACCAAACATGACATGTGGCCATCTCTACACTAGATGCAGGGCATGCATTCTTCGAAGAATGCTAAAAATGATGCTTTCATGTGTATGCAACATATTCATACTGAACTTAACTGTTTATTTGATGTTGACAACATTAATATTTGCAGCAACCAAAGATTTTTAACGCGCAAGTTTTATATAATGGGGGATTTCGAGCCTTCGTACAAGGGATACCTACAAGATGTTGTGATAGCTGCTGGAGGTATCATTTTGCTTAGAAAACCCATTTCTGGTGATCCGGGAGCCCTGTTATCGGGTTGCCCTATATCTTCAACCTTCATAACTTACAGTGTCGAAATGCCTGATAAGTGCGATCCCAAGAAGCATATGGTTTTAAGCCGCAGGCGATCGGATGCGGAAGCTCTGGCGAATTCAACAGGAGCCAAAGCAGTAAGCAATTCTTGGGTTTTGAACTCCATATCTGCATGCAAAATGCAAGGTCTTGGTTAATGATGACACTGATTGTAGAATCTCTTCCGTACTCGAATATCTAAACACATATTTAGCTGTACCCTATAATTAGCAATTCTATAGACTATATTTGTAGAATGTCTTCTTATATTTTGATAAGAATCAAAATAAAAATCAAAACGTAATTTTATGTATGATTTTAAAAAGAAAAATAATTATGTGATCAAAATGAAATTATGATAATAATTAAATATGTAGTTTATCCTATAATGATTAGACCATCGATCGAGTAGAACTAATTGTGTTGAACTTAATGAAGCTAGAATACTTTGATTAGGAATGGGTATGAGACTTGAATGTGACGGGTTTTAACGTGACTTGACTTAATTGGGTTGAACTTTTTTGAAAAAAAAATGAGTTTAGGTCCGGTTGAGTTGGAGTTTTTTAGAGGATATGTTTGAGTTGGGTTGAGTTTGGGTTTAGTGTAAAAAAAAAAATTGACTTGAAAAATAATGTAAATTTATGTTATATATTTAGAGATAATTGTAATAATAATACTCTATACATTTTTTTATTGAATAAACATAATATTTTGTATAAATATATTTATTTCCGATCATGTTAGATTTGAGTTGAACGAAATCACCCTAAACTTGGGTTGAATTTTGGGTGGAGGGTATATATTTTGGATCGGATTTTAAATATAGATTGTATATTTTTAGATCGGATCTGATCGATAAAAAATTACCGAATCTGACCCTTACCCACCCATCCCTAATTGTGATGACAACAATAACGAGAATCGGGGAAAGAGATAAAAAAGTGGTCAGTTCGGTTATTACGTGACAAAAGAGATTCCACATATAGTTCGGTGAGGGAGACTTTGGAGATTCGGGTTAATAGTGATCGTTTTGTTGTGTTCATAGCATATTTCTGGGAATTTAGAAAACAATTTAAAGAAGTATTATAACTAAATGCTTCATTTAGTCCAAATGTTTTGTTGACATACCCAAATAAGCATCAAATCTTTCAAATTGATCAATTAAAGTCAACATATTATCTAAATTATGTTTATAAATAGTGATTAAGTTTGTATCAATTAGTAACGGATGTAAATCCACTACGAGTTTTATTCATATACAAAATTTTAAAATTATGATTTTTGAGAATAATATTTTTTTAAAATAAGAAATTTGTATATATATATATATATATATATATTTTTATAATACATAAAAAACAAAATCTTAACTATTAGAGACCTTTATAAAAATAAGAAATTCAATAAAATCTTACAATTTGTTTTATTTGTTTACATAAATGTTATGTTATATATATTTTCATATTGAAGAACAATAGTTTTTTTTTATTTAAACATTTAAATTTATGTAGTTTATTGTTAATCATGATTAGTTTAAACTAGAACATATATTAATAAAATAAAAATATCGTTGATAATTCCATTCAAACCAACCAAACATAGCATAAGTATTTGAAAAATGCACCCGAAATTAAAGGACTAAATAGAAAAACTAGAAAGAGTCTGACCACTAAAAAATAGTAAAAGATAGGGAGAAAAAGGAGTAAAAAAGGAAAAAGAATACTCCACGTAGTAAAACTGTAAAAACCAGTAAAAAAAAAGATCTCACCGAGCCTCTCAGCGTTATAACAACTCAACGGGGCAAGCATCATCAGTCTCAAAAAGTTCACTCATCAAACCCTAGCCTCTTTCTCGAAGCCCAAATCAAATGGCTTCACGGCGACTCCTCGGCTCTCTCCTCCGCTCCACTTCTCGCCGATCTCTGTCTAGATCGTCGAACGCTAATCCTCGTCTATCTTCTCCGATTCCTACGCGCCACCCTATTCGCTGCCCTTACTTTCTCTCACGCGATGCTAAGTACGCCACATCTGCAGCCGCAGCCGCTCCTGCTGCTCCATCGCAGCCTCCTTCCGCTAAGAAAGGCGGAGGAAAAGGTAAGATCACGGATGAGTTTACTGGAGCAGGAGCAATCGGTCAGGTTTGTCAAGTGATCGGTGCCGTCGTTGATGTGAGATTCGATGAAGGTTTGCCTCCTATTTTGACGGCTCTTGAGGTGATGGACCACTCGATCCGGCTTGTGCTGGAAGTAGCTCAGCATTTGGGTGAAAACATGGTTAGGACCATTGCTATGGATGGAACGGAGGGACTTGTTAGAGGGCAGCCTGTCCTCAATACCGGATCTCCGATCACTGTAATTTTCCTATCTTCTTTTCAATGTTCCATTTTTTATTTGAAATGAGGTAATGTCTGAAATTAGAACTTAAGATGTATATATGATAAGATTATATATCTGATTTATGTTATGGAATCAGTGATTATTTTTCCTATTAGGCATCTAATTCAAAAACAACACTTTATTCTTTAGTTTACCACTACTGATCTTTTTACAATTTTCACTTGCCTACCGTACATTATTTTTGTGCTTGAATTTCACTTAATCATCTTTGCTTGTTCTTTTCAGGTGCCTGTTGGTAGAGCTACACTTGGTCGAATCATAAATGTTATAGGAGAGCCTATTGATGAGAAAGGCGAACTCAGTAAGAGATTTGCCAACATTTTAATAGTTTGACCTTTGTATTGTGTACTGGTGCAATAATCTTAAGGATTGCTTAATTTTTAACAGAAACCGATCACTACCTGCCCATTCACAGAGAGGCACCAGCTTTTGTCGATCAAGCTACTGAACAACAGATCCTTGTCACTGGCATTAAGGTACTAATTATTGCTTGTAATTATGTATTTCTTTGATGGCGTGCTATTCTTGTTTTCTCTCTTTGTAATTGAAATATGTTATCCTGTTTCAGGATAAACTTCTATTTACACATTTTGTTGTCTGAATTCTGATTCTGGATGAGATTATTTATGTCAGTCAAGACCTTTTTATCTTTTTTTTATCTGTAGGTTGTTGACCTCCTTGCCCCATATCAAAGAGGAGGAAAAATTGGACTTTTTGGTGGTGCTGGTGTAGGAAAGACTGTGCTTATTATGGAACTTATCAATAATGTTGCTAAAGCTCATGGTTGGTTTTAGCTTATATTTGCTGTTGTTTCACAGATTGCACATTGGTTTTTATTCTTATATTACTAGTTTCTGTACTTAGGTGGTTTCTCGGTGTTTGCTGGTGTTGGAGAGCGCACAAGAGAGGGCAATGACTTGTATAGGGAAATGATTGAGAGTGGTGTCATCAAGCTAGGTGACAAGCAGGTAAATTCCAGGCATCTTAATCTTATTCATCTTGTCCAGATTTCTGTATTTTGTTGTATCTTATCTTTGCAGGTTTCTCTTTTGTATAATTACAGGCTGAAAGCAAGTGTGCTCTTGTCTATGGTCAAATGAATGAGCCACCTGGTGCTCGTGCTCGTGTTGGACTTACTGGTTTGACTGTGGCTGAACACTTCCGTGATGCTGAAGGGCAGGATGTGCTTCTCTTCATTGACAACATTTTCCGATTTACTCAAGTGAGTTGGCTTATTGTGGAAGCTTTTGAAACACTTCATTTTATCTGTTACATGTTGCTGATGGTTTGAATTTTGTACATTTTTCCCAGGCAAACTCAGAAGTGTCTGCTTTGCTTGGTCGTATTCCATCTGCTGTTGGTTACCAACCGACTTTGGCTACTGATCTTGGAGGTCTTCAAGAGCGTATTACCACCACCAAGAAAGGTTCTATCACTTCTGTGCAAGCCATTTATGTGCCAGCTGATGACTTGACTGATCCGGCTCCTGCAACAACCTTTGCTCACTTGGATGCTACCACTGTGTTGTCTCGTCAGGTATTGTACACATGTATTTTGAAGGTTCTGTTTCTGATGTTACTTTATGATTACCTGTTTCTCTTTGCTCAGAACACTTATCTTTATTTTGTCAGATCTCTGAGCTTGGTATTTACCCTGCTGTGGATCCTTTGGATTCTACATCTCGTATGCTCTCTCCACATATCTTGGGTGAGGAACACTACAATACCGCCCGTGGTGTGCAGAAGGTTCTCCAAAACTACAAGAACTTGCAAGATATCATTGCCATTTTGGGAATGGATGAACTCAGTGAAGACGATAAGTTAACTGTTGCTCGTGCTCGAAAGATCCAAAGGTTCTTGAGCCAGCCTTTCCATGTAGCAGAAGTGTTCACTGGTGCTCCTGGCAAGTATGTGGAGTTGAAAGAGAGCATCACCAGCTTCCAGGTACAAATCTTAATTTCTTTACCCATCTTCTATTATGGTATGTATGTTTTCTTTGTTTATTTTCAGACCCAACTATTTTATGAGAATCCATTGACAAGGCTCATAACAATTTTGAGTACAACATATGTCGGGCAAGAAAGCCTATCCAATTATGCTAGTGGCTGCTATTTATGTAGTTTAGTTGAATTTTAGTTGCATATCTTGTGGTTTTAGTGGCATTAATTCTTAATGACCATGATTCTTATAGGGTGTGCTGGATGGAAAGTACGATGATCTTCCGGAGCAGTCGTTTTACATGGTTGGAGGAATAGAGGAAGTCATTGCCAAGGCGGACAAGATTGCCAAGGAATCCGCAGCCTAAGTAAATCCACATATGATGATGATACCTTTGTTCGATCTCTTGGTTAGCTGCAAAAATAATGTAGGTGGTGTTGGCCTTGCCATTGCCAGCAATGACAGGACTGCTCATTTTTTGCCATCAAATGTACCAGAGTGTTCTTTTGATTTATGCTCCAACGATTTTTCCTCGAGTATGGAGGAAAGAGAACCCCAGAACCCCTCTTTTTTTTCTATATATATATTTAATAAGGGGAAAACAGCGGATGTGTACATTTTTTCACCTATCGGTTCTTTGAGAAACGCTGTATGACCATGTTATCATTTGACTTCCATTTGTGCGATAAAGATGGTGTTTTGAAATGCAATCATAAACTGTGATGTTTCTTAAGCTTTAAACCCTGGATGTGATCAAACCACGTCCTTGGACTTGAACCCTGGATAAATCTCAAAAAACTTTCTGGTAAACTATTTATTAACTTTTCTAATAGTTTGGGACGATCTTTCTTAATTGTTGACAATGTGTATACATTTTGTAGAATCAACTGTTCGAATTTAGAATTTCAAGAGAAAATAACACTTTCTTTGATTATTGAAATGGCTCGACTATTTCTAGTAAACGAAGGTAGCATTCATCTTCATAAGGAAAAGTGATGGAAAAAAATGAATGTTGAAAAAGAAAGTAACGGTTTTGAGAATGTTTATCTTATACCGTAGAAATATTCCTGTTTCGTAAATAATAACAAGCATCTCCACGTTCTTTTCTCAGCATCAAATTTTCTATTATTTTGTCTCCTCCTAATCCATCGATAATTATAATATAAGCAATAAAAAAATTTGAAGGAAGAATTTTTTTTAATGACTTGCGTGTTAGAAATATTATATCAAATCAGTGAATCGGGGTATGGTATAAATAGTTGAAATACGTACAAGATAATCTCTATAATGTATCTTTAAAACCTCAACAAATTCTTTTGTTATAAAAATGGATTCAAAAATAGAAAATAGTTTGCAATAGGAATATATTAAAAAAAACTCAATGAAGGTAGAGAAAACAAGAGGAAAAGAAAAGAAAAAGGTTCTGAATTTTGATTTAAATGTGTTTAAAATAAGAAAGAAGCTAAGAATAGTGGTAGTTAAAAATAGGGTAAACTACGTCAATGGTAACTAATGTTTGAGTAAGTTTTCGTTTTCTCCCACGAAAGTTTTAAAAATAACAAATCAATCACTGACGTTATCGATTTGTAACAAAATGATCACTAACGTTATCGATTTGTAACAAAATGGTCATTAATGTTATTGATTTGTAACAAAATCATCACTCTACTGTCATCCCCGTTAAATTGGTGGCGTGACAACTTTAATAAAAAGGTTAATGTTTCATTTTGCCCCTAAATTACAAGTAAACCATCAAATAGGTCTTTAAACAATGAATTTATGTCTAATTTACCCCCAAAAGCTTTTCAATTTTTATTTTTTTTCTAAACACCCCACTACCTCCATTATATTCAAATCACATTCCTTACAAAACAAAAAACACTTAAACAAGAAACATTTTCCTTGGTATTTGTTTCAACTTTATTTTTAAAAAAAGTGTGGTTGAAACAAATACTAAGGAAAGTGCTCCTAATTGTTTGAGTGTGGTTTTCATTTTGTAAGGAATGTGATTCAAATATAGTGAAGGTAACGGGGTGTTTGGAAAAAATGGAAATTAGAAAACTTTTTGGGGTAAAATTAGATATAAAATTTGCAACGCCTCAAATCGTGACCCATAATTTGAGCCCAAATGACGTATTAAAATAACTTGGATCAAGTTTGGTAGCATTTGGGCTTGAGCCCAAGAGAATTTTTAAAGATTGTTGGGTCTGTTATGAAGTGGAAAGTAGAGGGACTAAAGCTGTAATTTTCCCATTTTTGTTTTGAAAGCTAAAAACCCCTTACTTTTATGGTGTTTACGTGAACTACTCCCATCATCATTCACCAAACTTTGTTCTTCTTCTTCCTTCCATCTTTTTCTCTTCCTCTTTCTTTTTAAAACCAAAATATCAAACATTTCAAATCAAGTTTGGCTTAACTAAGGTGAGATTATAAATCCTCATTCTCCTAGCTTCAATTTAAACTCCATTTCTCAAGTTTTACACCTAGTTTCCAAAAAGTTTTTGGGAGGTTTAAGAGAGTCTATGGGTTCTAAGTTGTTTTCGATATATTCAAGTTTTAGAAAGTGTTATTATTTCAATTCAACCACCTAGTAAGTTTAGTAATTTCCTTTTTTTTAATTTTGATTAGTTAAAAAAGTGGGTGAAAGCTCAAAAGAAAAAGGAAAAAAAAAATTGCCTTTTGAGTGATTTGAAGGCTTTTCTAGCAACCAAAGAAACAAGGTAACACACTCACAACTTCCTCATATCATTTGTGAGTCATTTAAAATGCTTTATAGCTAGAAAGTTGAGTTGAAGCATGATGAGATATTTTCATGGTAGATTTTATGATTCAGAGTTATGAAATGTTTTAAACCCTATCTATGACCCTTTATGCCTACATAATACATTAATAATAATTGAGAACCTCAAAATAACAATATGGGTAAGTTTGAGTATATAAATTGAGCCTAAGTAAGGCCATTTCGAGCAGGGGTTATCGGCACTGTAAGAACAATATTGATAGTGTTATTTCCTCAATACAAATTTTCCTAAGTTATTGAAGGAGTATAGATACTTAGAGGGTAAGTATCGACACTGAGATATTTTTGAAAACATCGAAGCAAAATTTGGTATTGATACTCATGGGAGTATAGATACCCAGGGTAGAGTATCGATACTCCCTATAGGAGTACCGATACCTAGGTAATTTTCAAAACATCGAATCAAAAATCTGGTATCGATACCCTGGTTGGTATCAATACCTTAGCTTAGAAGTATCAATACTAGTCAAGAGGTATTGATACTATCCTCTTCCTCATCAATTGAAAATAGAGTAGAGTATCAATACCTAAAGAGAGGTATCGATACTAAGGGAAGAGTATCGATACCGAAAGGCCAGTGTCGGTACCGTCATACATTTTGGATCATAAATTTTTAAGGGATTGTAAGGGGAAATGAGGTTCCCAAGAACTCTTTCATTACTCTCAAATAAGACTACAATTGAAAACAATAATAATGCTAAATTACACTTAGAAACGAGATCAATTAGGGTGGTATAAGACTAGCCTTGATTAATGCTCTGGAAACGATCAGGACACCCGAGTTCCCTTAGTAAAGATAGCAATGTCAATGTATAGAATAAGTTTGGATATCCTTAGGTAGTGCACGAGGCACTTTAAACTGACTAACTAGGGTGTGAGGTCCGACACCCGCGAGGGGTGGGTTAGTCGAGAGTGTTGTGTCCAATGTAGAGATTCCGGGCCACATCCTTGGTAGACTAGAGGGGTGTGTGAGCTCCGAGATGTAGAGCCTTCAATCGCACCATGATATCAACCCTAGAGAAGAGAGTGAGTCATAACTTATTTTTAAACTATGTTTTGTATATTCGAGTCATAACTTATTTTTAAATGATGGCCTGTATATTTTGATTTACTATTTTGGGAGCTCCCGATTGTAAATCGATTTATATAAATGTTGTCGTTTTATTTCATGATGAGTGTTCCTACATGATTGTTTAAATTGAGCACATAAAGAAAATTTTTGGTAAACCACTCCGGTGGTTCCGTGTGGCACTCTGACTGGTCGACTGTGTGTCGTGCTGGTTTAGGGTGTTACAAAAGCATTGTTCAGTGATCTATTTGATATTTTAACAGTAGTTTAGGGGTAAAATAAAATATTAACCTTTTTGTTAACGTTGCCACATCATCAATTTAATGAAGATGACAGTGGAGTGACCATTTTGTTACATTGATAACGTTAGTGACCATTTTGTTATAATTCGATATCGTTAATGATAAATTTGTTACTTTTGAAACTTTAGAGGGAAAAACGAAAATTTACTTGAACATTAGTATCATTGGTTGTAATTTACCCTTAAAAATAATACAAAAGTGGCGGAGAAAACCAATGTAGGCAACTTTTGAAAAATTAAAATAGTTTTAAAAGTTTATTTTAAGTTTGAAATAAGTTAAAAATAACTTCTAACAATTAAAATATTAACAAATTATCAATTAAATCATTTATTATTCTTAAACTCTTTAAGAAATTCAATAAAATAAAAAATACTACATAAAAATTGGACTTAATTCTTATGTTTACAAGCCCAACACCTTAATTTGACTTTTACAATTTTAATAAATTATATTGAATTATAAATAAAATTTCCTTCCCATAATTTCTCTACAAAAACATGAGATTTGAATTTTTTTTTTTTAAAATACATCAATTTTTTACAACATTAAATCCATGTCTCCTCCCAATTGATGCCACAGTTCCCTCGAACAATTCATCAATCAACCCCTCGATGTCTTCTGGTTGATATTTCATGTACTTCTCTTGTTGTTTACCTTTATTAAAATGTGAACTGAACCTTCCCAAGAAGGCCCTGTATGCCGGGATCACAACCGCCGATATCGAGACTCGAAGCTCCGATTTAAGCTGCTCGTCACTCACTATCCAAGCGGTCTGTGTCTTGTGGATTTCGTCGAACATGGCGTTGAAGCTCTTGAACCTTTCTTTCAATGTTGACTTGGACACCTTGCCGTTCACTTGCAGGCCCTCATGGCTCATGCATTGCAACACCTTGCCCCATGTCTCTCTTTGGTAGTTCTTATGGTACTGCCTCAAATCCGATGATTGTTTCCACAACCACTCGTCGCCCATCACTTCGTTGATGTTGTTCGAGCTCTTGATTTTCTGCAGCATGTACCTCCCGTTGTTCATCAGGAAGATGTAACGCAACGACGGGTCGCGGTACAACTTCGATTTCGTGTCGATGTTGGCGTCTAACAAGTCCATCACCAACATCAACTCTTTTGCGAAATGGGGTGTGTTGGTGCTCTCGCCATTGTTCTCGGTTGCATTCTTAGGCTCTTGCTTGGTTGATCCGTCGGTCTCGTCTTTGTGTTGCCGATATATTTTCTCTAGTGTGTCCTTGTACTCGCAAGCGTATTTTAGATAATTCATGGTGTATCGAGTAAGGGGGTGGACCGCACCATTTGCCACCGGGATTCTCCCGTTATCATTCTTGATCGAATCCTTGAGCTCGCATAAAATGCTTACGGCTGCTTCGCCGATCTTGCATTGCGTCTTGGGTATCAAGTCCTTTGCGGATAAGTCATTACCGATAACCGAAATCAAATCACACAATGTCTCGTATATGTCTAGGAACTTGAATAGTTTCTCCGTGGAATACTGTTTGATCAAAAGCAGAGCATTTGGGAAATTAAGAAGCTTGATGGTCAAGGATGTAGCCAGATCGCAGAACAACCTCTGAGCGATCGGAGCATGCTCGAATATTGAGTAGCAAAGCTTGCGTTCGACGGAGAAGAGATTCGTCGTGCAATATTTGACAATGTGAACCCAATTATCGATCTCGCCTTCCTGTGTTGCCCATTCCATCCTTTGAAAGTCCTCCATGTTGATGTTTTCGTACTCTTGCTTGCTGAACTCAGCGTGCAATGCGTTCAGCCTAAGAGCCGTGTACGCAACGCAGCATTCGGACTCGTGCCCTGCAAAGATCATCACGGTGGCCACTTCTTTCATAACGACCTTCGATCCGGGCGGAAAATACGGGAACTCGGTCTCGATTTCAGGTTGATTGGAGTTGAAGACGGATTGCTTCGGAGTCTTCGGAGTTTTGGAATCCATGATAGTCACATTGCAGTTGCGTTTCCAAATGTCCAGAATAGCCTGGAACTCGGTTTCCAACATCGACATCGCATGTTGGAAGACCGATCCCGCTCGATTAGAACAACCGTTGGCCACAGAATCCTTTGTGAATTCATCGAGACAATGCACCATCTTCGAAAGTCGGGTTACTGCCTCAAAAAACGATGAATCCTCGTCCTGGTTATGGCCAAACTTAGCCGAGGCCTCCCTCCTTTCGTACGTCGCGATCCTGGAATCGATCATCTTCAGAAATGGCTCGACGATATCAGGGATTTCGGGGGATATCGACTTATCTCGAGCCGAAACCAAGCTCTCGATGAATCGATCAACCTGTTCCAGCATCTGGTCATAACTCAACCCATGTTCCAGCATGATCTCATCGGACCCCGTGACATGGTTGTCATCAAGTTCCTTTGGCTTAACGTTCTCCAACTTGAAACTCGATGTCTCTAATTCGAATTTGGTCCGCCGTCTTCCGAATCTCGGAAAGCTGCCGGACTTTTCACCGTTGAGGATCTTCTCCATGTCGGGCCAATCGACGTGGAAATGTTTTTTGCTCAATATCTTATCGTTTATGTGAAGATTAGATAGTTTTTGGAGGGAATCCATGCCTGTGTTGTGCTGCCTCATGAACATTCTTTTAGGGAGGTCATGGTTATAAACCTATAATCCAACTCTAATCACACATTATTAACTATAATAATCCATTATATACAAATATAGTTTAAAACATTTCAAAATTAGTAATTTTGACCCCTTTTTTCTTCAAAAGTTTTTCATAGCTTTAGAGAGTCACGTTGCAAAATTGAAATTTTCGGCTCGGTTTAGTTCAATTCGATTTCATTTATTTATTTTTTTGGTTGCCCTCTCTGGTCCAAGGATTTGTCTTGACTGATCCGGATCGACCCGCGTGACACACTTTGCTTTGGTGGATGAGTCTCTCGATAAGGATTTTATGCATACACAAGGACTCGAATTCGAGATTTTACTTAAACGATATCAAATTGTTTACAACTTTAATCAATTTTTGTTAGTTTACAGTTTTTAATTATTCACCATTTTTAAATTCAACATCTGAAAAAGGGAAATTCCAAGCTTAAATCGTATGCAAACATACAAGTTTAAATTCAAAAAAAATTATATATATATATATATATATATTTAATTTTAAAAGTTTGTTATTTAAATTTGTCTTATTAAAATTCAAAACTAATTTGATTTAATTTATTGTTATTTATTTTTTATAATTCTATTTAATTAGAAACAAACTGATTTCATATAAAAAATTAAAACTAAAAGGAATTATACAATTATATATCTAAACCAAACATAAAATAAAGTAAGAAGTTTAAATTAAAACATAATTAAATTCAGTTTAATTTTTCGATTTCGTTGCTCAACCGTAGAACAGAGAAAGGTTTGACCAAATCCATGGAAAAGTTGGTACAGTACAGATCAAATAAACAAATAGTAGGGTAAACCATATTATTGGTCACTAAAATTTTATGTTATTTTCACCTTAACCACTAAACTTTTAAAATTTGTATTATAATCAGTCAACTTTTAATTTTTATTTTTATTATAGTCACTTCTATTAACTGATGTGACACATTAAGTAACTTTAAAAGCACACTAAACTTCTTTTAAATTAGTAGTCATTATTTCTTTCAATGTCCCATTTATCGTTATTTGATAATTTTTCTGATTAAAAATAGCACTGAATTATTTTACTCATTAGAAATTCATTAAGATCAAGATAAATAATTTCTCTCTTTTTTTTTCTTTACTACTTTTTTTTATTATTATTTATTATCAAATATTATTAATGGTTATGACGATAATCAAAATAACATTGCCAGAAACAACGACAAAAAAAAAATAATGACTTTCAATTTAAAAGAAAAAATTAATGTATCACGTCAACTTTCCCATAAAGATAGAATTTTAAAAGTTTAGTGATTACATGTGTAAATTTACCCTAAATAGTATTATAGAGAGTGCCCTGAATATTCTTCCTACAAGCACAATTGTCTTCTTTCAGTTTCTCTCCTTTGGATCCTCTTGATCGGTATCTATGGCAACCATTTCCAAGCTCCCTAACCCCAACCCAACAGCTTCTCTTCCTTTATCTTTCAAACCCAGATCTTCTTTTACCCAGAAATGCTTCCTTGGGTTCCAAACCAAGCCTGGTTTTAACTCAGAGCTGGTTTCCGCTACTTGCTTCTCTTTCACAAGCAACCACCCTTCCAAGGGTCCCTTGGTGTAAGTATATTGGCTGATTTATTGAACCCTGTTTGCTTGTGTTGTTGTTGATTGATCTTTAAGTACTAAACCCCCTTTTTTGGGGAAGTTTTTGTTGATGCATGCTGATGTTTCGATTTCGTTTCTTTGTTTAATGTTGAGAGAGCTTTGGTAATCATTGTGTTTAATGCTGATTTTTTTTAATTTCGAAAATGTTTCAAGTAAGTTCCTTTGATTGTCCAAATGTTGTTTTCTTATTGCAGGGTCAGATGTTCTGTTGGTGATGGAAATGGTACAACAGTGAAGAGGACTACTTTACATGATCTTTATGAAAAAGAAGGGCAGAGTCCATGGTATGACAACCTTTGCAGGCCGGTGACCGATCTGCTTCCGCTTATCGAAAATGGGGTTAGAGGTGTTACTAGTAACCCTACGGTAAATACCTGCCTGCTATCGATTCCGTCCTCGGTCGGTTTAGTTTTCTGTATTCCCCTATTTTGTTATGCTGTAAGATTCGAAATATATGGTTGCAGAATTTCCAGAAAGCTATATCGTCTTCGAATGCTTACAATGATCAATTCAGGTATTGTGATGAGTTGCTTAAGAAGATCGATTGATAATGCTAAACGGACAATTTTATTTAGGCTTTTCAATATATCCTGAGCTTGCTGGCTATCATTTTATCTTGGGGTTTGAGAATTGATTTTTTCTTCTTTTCCGTTCTCGCATCTTTTACCTTTAAGATTACTCGAATTCGTAGGGAACTTGTGCAGTCTGGAAAAGATATCAAACGTGCATATTGGGGGTTGGTTGTGAAGGACATTCAAGATGCCTGCAAACTTTTTGAGCCAATCTATGATCAAACAGATGGAGGAGATGGTTATGTTTCCGTCGAGGTTTCTCCTAGACTTGCTGATGATGCTGAAGTGACTATCGAGGCTGCCAAACTTCTTCATAAAGCGGTCGATCGTCCCAATGTGTACATCAAGATCCCTGCGACAGCACCATGCATTCCTTCGATCAAGGAAGTTATTGCAAAGGGCATAAGCGTGAACATCACTGTATGTTATTTCTAATATTCCGACTTAACTTAGAGTGGAAGATGATGTTTCGGGCTACATGCATATGTTTTGTTCTTATGAGGATTTATTGTTGTGCCAATCCAAACAATTAATGCTTTGGATGGTCCATTGGCTGATAGGTCGAGAATAGTTCTAAACTAACAAATGCTTGTAAATCTCAACCTCATTTTTCTCTTCATCTGCAGCTCATATTCTCGCTTGCTAGATATGAAGCTGTCATCGATGCTTACTTGGATGGCCTTGAGGCATCCGGGCTGAGTGATCTCTCTAGGGTTACAAGTGTAGCTTCCTTCTTTGTCAGTCGGGTAGACACCCTCATTGACAAAATGCTTGAAAAGATTGGAACACCAGAAGCCCTTGATCTCCGAGGAAAGGTAAATTAAACCGTGATATACATGTCGTACACTGTAACACTTTAATCCAGTTTGACCCGAAGATCCATAGATTACAATGTTACACGGGACTACCGAAATAGTGACCCAATTTTTCTTTAAAACTTCTTATAATTTACTAATAAATAATCCATGTAGATAAAATGAAATTGTGATAAATAAACGAGTTTACAAATTGATGGAGAGCTCCCAAAATGCATCCATAAATATAAATAGAGTATAAAATGAAGTTACAACTGAATAAAAAATGGGTCCATAACACTACATTCCCTCTACTGATGACTTAAGACGTACTATGAAGGTCTTAGGAAATCTGGTCTACTGCATTGGAATGTCTGATGATGATAACTCTCCACAAACTGCCCCTAAGAACCTGCGCACGGATACATTTCGAACGCTAAACTTACGAGCTCAGTTTCTCGCTAATAATTGTACCATACTACATGCATTCATTAAATGAAATGGACAGTGGCACATGTCTGAACATATTGAATATTGAACTATTGGTTTATGGCAAGCATCATGGTGGGGCTGAGGGGCTGCATCTCGGAGCTCACACACCCCTCTAGCCTGCTAGAATCCTTGGGTGCCTAAGTGAGATCTGGAGTTGTATCAAAATCATACATCGGCCCCTTGGATAGAATGGAGTGAGATCCGGAGCTGCATCGGAAACGTACACTCAACCACTTACTCCGTCAAGTCTTGGGGCATCTACGCCCAACCGGTTACTGAATTGCCTTGGCACTGGCTTGGATATCCACTGACTGTCGTATTCTGCTAAGAGAGACTCGAGTGTCCTGGTTATTTCCCGAACGTCAAACAAGACTATTTTTATCTATACCTAGCCGTTATTGTTTCTACTGTTATGATATTTATTACTGTTATTGGTTGAAGTCTTATTTGATGTTATTATACGAGGTACCTCGAGTCTGATCCCTTAATCCTCGGATTAATTATCCAAAACTGCTTGTGGCTACCGATACTGAACTTTCAATATCGGTACTTGACTCTTGGTATCGATACCCCTTGTCTGAAAATGGATGTTTGATTTATGTGGTATTGATACTCTAGTGTTGGGGTATCAATATTGGAATGAGTATCGATACCGAAATAAGGTTCGATGTTTTGAAAATGGCCCCAATATCGATACCCTATTGGGAGTATCAATACCCCTGCCCTGGCATCGATACTCTATGTGAGTATCGATACTAAATTTGCCTATTGTTATATTGATCTCGATACCAAGTCATTCGATATCGAAACCGAGACATTAGTATCGATACTCCATGGATGAGTATTGATATTGCCCCTTAAAAATTGTTTGTTTTATGTCTGATTGAAGAACAATATCGATACTACTACTACTAGGTGTCATGTTTTGGTATGAAAAATCAGATCTTTCTACCTAAAAGTCTCATTGAGGTCTCCAATTGATGTTTAAGTGTTTTATGTGATATTGGGGGTCCTAAAGAGTCTGTAAACATGTTGTGAATACTCAAATTATGCAATCTATCATGATAATGTTTCAAGCTTATGCAACACACTAATCTCATCTAAATGAGCTACAAGTGGAATAGAGAAGTTATAAGTGAGTTATCTGAAGATTCTAAACTGCTAAGGACGTCCAAATGTCACCCTAAGGTGAGCTTCTCCTTTCCTCTTGCTTGAGAGCTTTCACCAACCTCTCTCACTAGACAAGGATCAAATGTAGTGGTTACTAGCTGAGTTTAATTGTTTAAAGAGGTAATAAGAACACTTCCTAAATTTATAGATTACTGAAAACGTCTCAAATTTTGGAACCTCTTAAACCCTCACAAAAATGCGTTACATGAAAATTATGTCAAAACCTTGCAAAGATTTAATCCAAACTAAAATTATCATTTTTATTTCATGTTGGGCTTAAACCAAGCACAATTCTTCTTATACTTGTGTCAAGGCTTCCTAAAAACTAAAGATTTAATCTAAGGTATATCTCGGGTTAGCCCAAAACTCCTAACCCGGGATCCGGGGTGTTACAGTACACTATGGATATTAACTTTAGTATTACGTCGGGGTTTACTCACATCGTGTGATGGTTACTATAATTAGGCCGCGGTAGCTCAAGCAGCTCTGGCATACCAGCTCTACCAGAAGAAATTTTCCGGTCCAAGCTGGGAGGCTTTAGTGAAGAAGGGAGCCAAGAAACAGAGGTTGCTGTGGGCCTCTACTAGTGTAAAGAACCCTGCCTACCCCGACACCCTATACGTCGATCCTCTTATTGGTCCTGACACGGTGAGCTATCTTTCTTGTTCGATAAAGACATGATTTTTTTATATCTATTGGTGAATAATCCTGCCATGTGTTTTGGTGAATTAATCTTGTTGCAGGTTTCAACCATGCCGGACCAAGCTCTCCAAGCCTTTATAGATCACGGCACAGTTTCGAGGACAATTGACGTGAATGTCTCTGAAGCCGAAGGCATCCATAGTGCACTTGAGAAGTTGGGGATCGACTGGGCCTACGTTGGCTCACAGCTGGAAGAAGAGGGAGTGGAGTCATTCAAGAAGAGCTTCGACAGCCTTCTCGACACCCTGCAAGAGAAAGCAAACTCTCTTAAATCGGTTAGCATGTAAAAAAAAAACCCCCGTTCTAATATGGTGGTTGAGCTATTACAAGTGAAGCAGAATAGCAGATCTTGGTTCCTGCTGTCAAGTCTAATAGGTGAGCCGTTTCTGAGCGAGACGGTAAAATAAATTGTGCAAGTTTTTGTTTGATGAAAAATTGATATTATGCTTATTGTGCTTTCCCTGTATCAATATCTTTCTGCTTGTAATAATGAAATCGCATAGGTAAAATCTAAAAGAATGGGTCAAATTAGCTAACCTGGAAGTGTTTATCTTTAACATAATTATTATGGTTAATCATCCAATTTAAATTTGCTAATTTAGAAGTGTTCAAATTATCTTCTACATAATTAGTACTGTACCTGTTTCAATTATATGAATGAAGATTTTCTTAACGCTCAAAGAAATAAAAAAGCATTGTTTTGAAATCTGGACCGGACCGGCTGGTTCAATCGGGAACCATGTTCTAGTCCGGTTCAATCTAAACCGGTTGAACCGTTACTAGTGAACCGGCTAGAACCGTTGAACCGTTCAAATCGGACCGGCTGAAAACCGGAAAAAGCCAGAAATTTTGTTTTTTTTAAAACAAAATTAAACCAAACAACGTCGTTTGTTAAACAAGCCAAGTCGAACTCGAGTATTGCTGAGCTCGACTCGAACTTGAAAACTTTAAAAGTAAGCTCAACTCGACTCAAACTCACAAGCTAAAATTTATCAAGTTCAACTCAAACTCGAAATATAATATTAAAACTTGAACTCAAAAAGGCTTGAACTAAAAAAAATTTAGAAGCTCGATTGAAGCCTAAAATTCGAGCTTGATTGAAGTGAAAGAATAGTTCACTCAATGCTCACCAAAAGGCTCCATGATTTTAAATGTCAAATTACATCTATTATTTATAGAAGTTAGTTGTGATGCTCTTCTATGTTTCTTAGTAATGTGAGATTGTTTTGTTTTCATATTTTTACTCTTTAGACTTTTGGGATGTTCTTCTATTTTTCTTAACCATGTGGGATTGTTTTTAAAAAAAATTAAACCAAACAATATCATTTTGTAATGATTTTTTTAACCCCGAATTTATTTTTTAATTATAGTTATATAATTATATTTATTATTTAATATATTTTACCTTAAATATTATGTTGTAATTAATTTGAATAATTTTGTTTCACTTGATTTTATGGTTTTTAACTTATATATGTAATGACTTGCTTTGAATATGACTTGTGATATAAAAAATTATTTTTTATTAAATATTTTTTATATTTTTATTTAATTTTTTAAATAATTATGACGTCATCCGGTTCTTTCGACCGGTCGAACCGGTTGAACCAGTGAACCGATAATATGACCGATTCGCTAACCGATTTGGTTCTGAAAACCATGTAAAAAAGAGTCCTGATAAATTGGTGATACAGCGTTTTTCAAGGAACATGAAAAAAATGTACGAATCAGCTGTGCTTTCCCTTATTAAATAGTAACTAAAAACAGAGGGTTTTGTGTTCCGTTTCCTCTTTCATACTCTTGAGCAACATCATTAGAACATAAACCAAAATAACTCTGCAATATTTAATGCCAAAAAAATTAAAAGTCCGGTTGCCGGCAACGGCATGGCCAGTACCGCCTAAATTATTTTTGCAACTAACTGCGAGATAAAACGAGAGATAAAACAAAGGTATCATCATCATATGAGGATTTACTTAGGCTGCGGATTCCTTGGCAATCTTGTCCGCCTTGGCAATGACTTCCTCTATTCCTCCAACCATATAAAATGACTGCTCTGGGAGATCATCATACTTTCCATCCAACACGCCCTGTAAGAGTCGTGATTATTTAGAATTAATGCTACGAATACCACATAATATACGATTAATACATCATTAATACTGATGAGCTCGCATGACACATACATGATAAATGAATGACCTTGTCAATGAATTCTCGTAAAAAGGAGGGTCTAAATATCTATATCAAGAAAATATACGTGTCATTACCCAGATTCATATTAATTGTGTAAACCACAAGTTGAGACCTACGTCAACCCACATCCAAGGAATTAGCATTTTCAATATATATGGGTTTAGCTATACATATCACACTGCCTTTATTTGCTCTATAATGTAAGCCAATATTATCCATGTGTCACATAAATTGGCCAATTATTTAAATAATGAAGGATATCATGCAGTGGATCCACCCATTACAAGTAACTACCCACTTTGTCATGCATACCATAATTCCATAAGATAAAATACAAGAAGCCGAGCAGAGACAAAATCGTGTACCTGGAAGCTGGTGATGCTCTCTTTCAACTCCACATACTTGCCGGGAGCACCAGTGAACACTTCTGCTACATGGAAAGGCTGGCTCAAGAACCTTTGGATCTTACGAGCACGAGCAACAGTTAACTTATCGTCTTCACTGAGCTCATCCATTCCCAAAATGGCAATGATATCTTGCAGGTTCTTGTAGTTTTGGAGAACCTTCTGCACACCACGGGCGGTATTATAGTGTTCCTCTCCCAAGATATGTGGAGAGAGCATACGGGATGTAGAATCCAAAGGATCCACAGCAGGGTAAATACCAAGCTCAGAGATCTGTTAAAATAAAGAAAAAGTGTTATGAGCAAAGAGCAGCGGATAATCATAAGGTAACATTAGATAGAGAAGTGTTCTGAACAAAAGAGCAGCAGGTAATCATGAAGTAAAACTCGATAGAGCACCTTCAAAAAACATACGAGTACAATACCTGACGAGACAACACAGTGGTAGCATCCAAGTGAGCAAAGGTTGTTGCAGGAGCTGGATCAGTCAAGTCATCAGCAGGCACATAAATGGCTTGCACAGAAGTGATAGAACCTTTCTTGGTGGTGGTAATACGCTCTTGAAGGCCTCCAAGATCAGTAGCCAAAGTCGGTTGGTAACCAACAGCAGATGGAATACGACCAAGCAAAGCAGACACTTCTGAGTTTGCCTGGGAAAAAATGTACAAAATTCAAACCATCAGCAACATTTAACAGATAAAATGAAGTGTTTCAAAAGCTTACACAATAAGCCAACTCACTTGAGTAAATCGGAAAATGTTGTCAATAAATAGAAGCACATCCTGCCCTTCAGCGTCACGGAAGTGTTCAGCCACAGTCAAACCAGTAAGGCCAACACGAGCACGAGCACCAGGTGGCTCATTCATTTGACCATAGACAAGAGCACACTTGCTTTCAGCCTGGAATTATACAAAAGAGAAAAACCGCAAAGATTAGAGGCAACAAGATACAGAAATCTCGACGAGTAAGATGCCTAGTATTTACCTGCTTGTCACCTAGCTTGATGACACCACTCTCAATCATTTCCCTATACAAATCATTGCCCTCTCTTGTGCGTTCTCCAACACCAGCAAACACCGAGAAACCACCTATGTACAGAAACTAGTAATATAAGAATAATAAACAATGTACAAACTGTGAACCAACAGGAATATATCCTAAAACCAACCATGAGCTTTAGCAACATTGTTGATAAGTTCCATAATAAGCACAGTCTTTCCTACACCAGCACCACCGAAAAGTCCAATCTTTCCTCCTCTTTGATACGGGGCAAGGAGGTCAACAACCTACAAAATAATACAAGATCAAATGGTTTTGACTGATATAATCTAGTCCAGATTCAGACAGCAGAATGTGTAAATAGAAGTTTGTCCTGAAACAGGATAACATATTTCTATTAGAAAGAGAGAGAACGGGAATAGCATGGCATCAGAGAAATACATAATTCCAAGCATTAGTTGGTACCTTAATACCAGTGACAAGGATCTGTTGCTCAGTAGCTTGATCAACAAAAGCTGGCGCCTCTCTGTGAATGGGCAAGTAGTGATCGGTTTCTATTAAAAAGTAATCAGTCTGTTAGATTTTTATACCGGTATACAATACACTGTTCAAACTAAAAAAAATGTTGGCAAATCTCTTACTGAGTTCGCCTTTCTCGTCAATTGGCTCTCCAATAACATTTATGATTCGACCAAGAGTAGCTCTACCAACAGGCACCTGAAAGAAACAAGCCAGTGAAATTCAAGTACAAAAGTATTATATAGTAGACACGGGTAAAAAGCTCAGTAGTAAAAAAAAACTAGGGTAAAGTAACCGATTTGAATTGGATGTCTAATAATTTCAGGAAAAATAATCACTGAAAAAACTATCACTAATTCCAGATATCAGATCCATAATCAGACATTTATCTTAATTTCGCTGTATCTCCAAGTTCCAATGTCCGTCATTATCTCATTTCCAATAAAGAAATATAACACTCAAAATAGAAGAGGACAATTACGGTGATAGGAGATCCGGTATTCAGGACAGGCTGCCCTCTAACAAGTCCCTCCGTTCCATCCATAGCAATGGTCCGAACCATGTTTTCACCCAAATGCTGAGCTACTTCCAGCACAAGTCGGATAGAGTGATCCATCACCTCAAGCGCCGTCAAAATAGGAGGCAAACCTTCATCGAATCTCACATCAACGACGGCACCGATCACTTGACAAACCTGACCGATTGCTCCTGCTCCAGTAAACTCATCCGTGATCTTACCTTTTCCTCCGCCTTTCTTAGCGGAAGGAGGCTGCGATGGAGCAGGAGAAGCAGCTGCAGCTGCAGATGTGGCGTACTCGGCATTGCGTGAGAGGAAGTAAGGACAGGGAATAGGGCGGCGCCTAGGAATCGGAGAAGAGAGGCGAGGGTTAGAGTTTGAGGGTATAGACAGAGATCGGCGAGAAGAGGAGCGGAGGAGCGAACTGAGTAGTCGACGCGAAGCCATTGATCTGGGCTTCCAGAGAGAAGCTAGGGTTTGATGAGATGAACTTCCGAGAGCAACATCGGCTCGTTTACTTGTTATAATGACGAGATACTCGATGAGCCCTTTTTTGGTTTATTACAAAATAAGTATTTAAATTATACTATATTTTTTACTTTAGCCATCAAATCTTTTTGAGTTTTCAAATTCTGCAATTTTTTTATTTATTTAGTTTGTTATTAGAAATGAAATCAAATTTACGTCAATCGAACTCGATAATAAAAAAAAGAATAATTTTTTGAAATCTAAGTATTCGCAAAATTACGTCATTGTTTATCATTCTTATATTACTAGTTTCTGTACATAGGTGGTTTCTCGGTGTTTACTGGTGTTGGAGAGCGCACAAGAGAGGGCAATGACTTGTATAGGGAAATGATTGAGAGTGGTGCCATCAAGCTAGGTGACAAGCAGGTAAATTCCAGGCATCTTAATCTTATTCATCTTGTCCAGATTTCTGTATTTTGTTGTATCCTATCTTTGTGGATTTTCTCTTTTGTATAATTCCAGGCTGAAAGCAAGTGTGCTCTTGTTTATGGTCAAACGAATGAGCCACCTGGTGCTCTTGCCCGTGTTGGCCTTACTGGTTTGACCGTGGTTGAACACTTCCGTGATGCTGAAGGGCAGGATGTGCTTCTCTTTATTGACAACATTTTCCGATTTACTCAAGTGAGTTGGCTTATTGTGGATGCTTTTGAAACACTTCACGTGCTGCATGTTGCTGATGGTTTGAATTGTGAGCATATTTTCCCAAGCAAACTCATAAGTGTCTGCTTTGCTTGGTCGAATTTCGTCTGCTGTTGCTTACCAATCGACTTTGGCTACTGATCTTGGAGGCCGCCAAGAGCGTATTACCACCACCAAGAAAGGTTCTATCACATCTGTGCAAGCCATTTATGTGCCTGCTGATGACTTGACGGATCCAGCTCCTGCAACAACCTTTGCTCACTTGGATGCAACACGTGTTGTCTCGTCAGGTATCGTACGCGTATGTTTTTTGAAGGTGCTCTATCGAGTTTTACTTCATGATTACCTGCTGCTCTTTGCTCAGAACACTTCTTTTCTTTTTTCTTTCAGATCTCTGAGCTTGGCATTTACCCTGCTGTGGATCCTTTGGATTCTACATCTCGTATGCTCTCTCCATATATCTTGGGTGAGGAACACTATAATAGCGCTCGTGGTGTGCAGAAAGTTCTCCAAAACTACAAGAACTTGCAAGATATCATTGCCATTTTGGGAATGGATGAGCTCAGTGAAGACGATAAGTTAACTGTTGCTCGTGCTCGTAAGATCCAAAGGTTCTTGAGCCAGCCTTTCCATGTAGCAGAAGTGTTCACTGGTGCTCCTGTCAAGTATGTGGAGTTGAAAGAGAGCATCACCAGCTTCCAGGTACAATTTTTTTTCTTTCCCCAGCTTCTGTTATGGTGTTATGGCTTACATGAAAAAATGGTTAGTTACCTGTAATGTGTGGATCTGCTGTATGATATCCTTCATTATTAAAACAAGTGGCTTAGTTATCCGACAAATGGATAATATTGGCTTACATTCGAGCAAATAATTGCAATGTGATCTGTATGGATAAATCCTCATATATTGAAAATGTCTCGACAACGGCATGTATTAGACCGTATTCATACCATACCACTACGTGGCCGCAGTTATCATAGAAATCATATCATATTTTAGTTACATTTCACTCTAAAATGGACCGTATTAAGTGGCCCTTACACCCTTTACGAGAAGTCAAGACATCAGCTAAACCATGAAACAGGCCAATTTCCATCGACAACCGAAAGAAGCCATTTCTTTTCACGTCCAGCCGAAATTATCACAATAAGAAATCCATTTGAAAGCAATAACCCGAAGAAACTAAACTGAATCATGATTTAATTTTGTTGATAATTTTGTAGTTGCAGTGCTCTTGATTATTTATGGTTCCTTGTTATTCAAATAAAGTAACCCGACCATGAACTCAAATCAACCCCGGCCTGTGTCATTTCATATGCAGCTTGATCCGGAGGCAATGGTGGCAGCTCGGAGCCATGACCGACTGCTGAGAACCACCGTCTCCAACGTCCAACACCGGTAATGGGTCTGTAAGATTGGATAGTGCCACCCCTAGTCCCTTGGATCCACTCGGAAGAGAAGTGGCAATGGCATGCAGTGAAAGGGTCCTGTTGAGTAGCGAAGAAAAGGTGGTTCTGGCTTGCCTCGTTTTGATGGTGGTGGAAAAAAATCATGCCGTGATTCGTCGGGGAAGATGATGGAGGTGACGGATGAACCGAGTGGCATGTTGGAATAAACAAAGTTGGTACTAGCGTTGGAGCCTCGCATGGAGCGAGCTGCACGGTCATAGGCTGCTTCCCCGGTGGTCTCGAAGGTGCCGAGCCAATGCCTTTGTTTGGTGGAAGGATCTCTTATCTCGGCTGCGTAACATACATACATCTATGATTGAAATATGCTCCCTTAATGAACTCTCAGTTAGAATATGTTTTCATTGTTTATTCTATCTATTTGCCTTTTCTAATGATCAACTTCTTTCCCTTGATTTCTACTATAATATATATTTTCTCTAGAGATTCTGACAAGCAAAGCTTTCGAGTGTGCTAAGTTGAATCAGGAACAAATAATGGAATGTATTAATTAATTAAGCCATACAATGTATTAAGAGAGTATAATCATGTACATTCATTGATAACGTTTAAAGTTTTAGGGTAAAATATATAAATAGTCCCCGAACTTTTAAGGCGCTTGCATTGTGGTCATCCAACTTTTGAAACTTGCAATACAATCATTGAACTTTAAATTCGTTTTCAGTAAGGTCTCTACAGTTATTTCCGTTAGTTTTTGCTTGACGTGATAGTTAACTCCGTTACATCCTCTCCTCCCCCGCTTCTTCTTCTCCTCTCACAATTCTTGAGAGAAAAATCCTCACGAAGCTTGAAACTTTGACACCATTGATGACCTTCAAAGCTTCAAACTTTAACTCATTTTATTATAGAAATTCAACCAGTATATCTAAGGAAATTTCCCATTTAAATATAGAAATTCAAAGAAATACACCTTAACAGTAGCGAGAGCGAAAATGGCAATTCCAATGTTTCTATGAGTTGTAAATGTGATCCCCGGGGATTCACTTCCAAGCTTAAGACCAGTTCCCCAGCCAACAACTCCTATGACATACGCTTAAAACCATGTTGGATCCGCCGATTCGAATGTTCTTATGTAACGTGCAATTCAATCCCATGAATTTGGAATTAGTTAATTTTTTGTCAAATTTCAACAAATTCATCAAAAACCCAAATCAATCTAAGATTTCAAACAATTTAAAAAAAGGAAAACTCATTTTTTCTTCTTACGCTTATCGTTTCCTTCGGAACCAGTGGTGCTTTGTCCACTTTTCAAATCTAAAGTTCCTTTAGCTTGTAATTTAGTGGCGGCAAAATCATGTTTCTCCAACATTCCACCAGCTCCGACACTGGGACCGACTTGCCAAACCTGATTAATCTTCCCATAGCCATGGACTATAAAGAAGAAGAAGAAGAAGAAGAGGAAGAAGAAGAAGAAGAAGAAGTAATAATGTCTAAAGGGGTTAAAGCTTGAAGCTTTGAATGTCTCATCAATGGTGTCAAATTGTAAACTTTGTGAGGGTGTTCCTCTCAAGAATTGTGAGAGAAGAAGTATGGGGCTTAACTTAGTTAACGGAGTTAACTCCAACGTCAATAAAAACTAAGGAAAGGGATCTTATTAAAAACGAACTAAAAGTTTGATGATTGTATTACAACAAAAATACAAACTATCTAAAAGTTTGGTGACTATTTATATACTTTACCCAAAGTTTTATTGTCAAAACACTAAATATGAGATAAAATATTTGATATATGAATTGTATACAATATAAACTTTACAATTTTACTTATTTTAACGTCAAATCTTCACGTATAAACTCTAGACACTAAATTCTAAATTATCATCAGTTTTTTTTCTTCTTTTCATCGGGTTCCCATCGTCAACCCAAAGCTTCTCACTGATTTTTTCTATTTTCCCAAATCCTTTAACTGGTCAATATGCATATTTAAGAATCAAAACTTAAGAATCCGTAAACTCTAAAAGAATGAGGTATATGAACTTGCTCAAGTGTAAGGAGAAACCATCTCTTGATTTTGAGATTTTACCAAGGTAGCAATATCTTGGTCGAATACACTAAAAATAATGAATTGAGCTGTCAACTACTACATTCAATACAATGTAATGGACCAATGACCGCTCAATTAAGTTGTAAGAGTATTGGATAGTTTTTTTTTAAAGATATCTGATGTTCTATCCTTTGCGACAGACATGAGTATAGATATGAAGATCGGTTGTTTTCTGGCGTGCAGACCAGTTTTGATTCTTTGGTGTGTTGTGTATTGACTGGATGAGAGTCCCATTGACTTGCATAGTGGTGTGCATGAGAGCCTTTAAAATTATCATTTCGAGAGTTTTTCAGGTTGATCGTAATTGTATGGAATCGCCTACTGTGGTGGGATTTAGAATTGTCCCGGAGTCTTTGGGTTTTCATGTTTTGTGTCGAGCAGGAGGAGCCTTCGTGCGTCTTCATCCTTAGGTATGTTGCAGTATGTTGGCCAAGGCGTTTGTAGTTTGTGATCTTCCCTCTTTGGGGGCTTTGTTCAGGTGGTATTTTTCGTATTAATAAAATAATTGTTGTGCTAAAAAAATTGTTACATGTCATCCCTCCGTCTTTAAAATGTTTGTTGGATATTGAAAATATTAGTATGTTTTAAGTTTTGTTTGTATTATAAGTGTTATATTTTAAGTTTGTTGATTATAGAAATTGTTATTCATATTATTTATATTTATATAAAATAACAAGTAACATTAAATTTTAATTTGATGTAATTATAAAAATAAAATATTATAATATATATATATATGTGTGCAAAACTTTATAAAAATAATTTTATAATAATAATATTAACTCAATAAAAAATTACAATATGTTTTCTTATTAAAAAATAAATTTTAGAAACTATTTTTCATTAAAAATTACCAAATAATAGAAAATGAATTACACAATATCATCCAAAGACCGAAAAATACTTTCCAAAATTTATTTTTCTGAAATTGCAATTTATTTTTCAGAATTCATTTCCTAAAAAACCAATTACTGTAAAACGAACATACCCTTAATTATATGCTCAATTTACAACTATGGTTGTAAATTTTAATTGTAATTTGAAATATTTTTTATTTTTAATAGAATTAATGGCTTCTGTAAAATTAATTGTAATTTTTTTAAAAATAGTATTATTTTAATTAAGTCCTTATTTTATACTAGGTTGGATTTATACTCTAAAAATTTGTGTTGGATCGGAGTCGGGTGGAGGATATATATATTTTCTAGTCGAGTCGGGTTAGATGGATAATATATAATTTTTGGGACGGGTTGAATTCGGGTGGATGCTACATATTTTCGAGTCGAGTCAGGTTGACCAGAAACCCGACATGTACCTCCGTCCCACTAAAATTGTTCCTATCGACTTTTCAAAAGTCAATTTTTAAATTGACTATAATTATTTTAAGCATTTTAAAAAATAAATTTATAAAATATATATTTTAAAACTATTTGATTAAAGGTTTTTAAAATATTTTTTTTATATTTTCATCAATAATAAATTATAAATAATAAAAAGTCAAAATTCAAAATTCAAAAAAGATTAACAAAAAAAATCAATAATGGACATTTTAAGTAGTAGGGAGATAGTAATATATTTATATTACACAATTTTATAATTATTATTCTTTATTAGAAAATAATGAACCTTAAGAAATTGAGGGTTATTATCTCTGCTTACGTAACCCATTTTTGTAATTTTGTATACAAGAAAAAAGGAGCAGTACATGCTCAAAAGAAAAATAAAATGCAAGTTTTTTCAGAAATAAAATTTGCATTAAAAATGATAATGGGTTTATTTTTTACATTAAATATTGAAACGAGAACATGAGGAGAAAGAGAAACTCTTGACTACTAGATCAATTAGAATTCGGATTTAACCTTTTTTTTAATGTCATGAACTTATGATAAAAAATATTAATAATATAACTAAAGTCCTTATATCTATTTAACTAATTAAAATGCAAATATAAAAAAAGTTTAAGCCAAAAACGCCCTTTATCTACCAACTACATAACCCAGTTTTCCATTGGCAGTCGTATCCGCTACCATGCCCAGTTGTGTGGGCTATCAAACACACATGGTTCAGTTGAGGCAACACCTCATTTGGAGGGCAAACACAATTTTAAACCGTGGAATACGTATCTGAAAGCAGTCCCTCTCAAGAACTCTTTTTTACTAATAGTATATAGCGGTTTTTTTGGAACAGTCGGCCAGCTCAATTCCTACGAGATGATTCCCAGAGTCGATGTTCGATTGCCAATTTCCGCAACTCCATCAGTCCTTCCTCAACTGAACAAGTAAAAACACAAGCAATAATAAATGCAAGGGAATAACTGAATTTAGATTCGAAGTTTGGTTAAACCAACAGAGAAAGAAAAGGCTTAAGGGCAGGGAAAAAGCGCAGCAATGCTCGAATAAAATTTAGGATTACCATCTACAGCATCGTGTGAACTTGGCGAATGAGCAGAACGGCTGATCCAAAATTTAAGTCGCTCTTTTGCTGTATCCTCCTCGATGCCATGGGATTTCGCTCTTCTCCAAAAATATGTAAGCCATGCCTAGACAGTATGTTGCATAAATGGTCAACCGCATAATGTCATATTCCTTTTTCCAAGTGTATCCGTCCCTTGTTGGCAAGTAAATTAATAAACGATAACATGGAAATTTCAAAATTTGAAGCCGATGCAATTTCCACACACAAATTAGTACCTAATTGGGCCAGGATAAAATTAATGCCACCAGCAATCAAACAAAATAGTTTAACGGGAAGACCAAGAAATTCATGAGCTCGGTGGATTAATTACAGATGAAATGCAACAAACATCATTGAGATAAAACTGCAGATAACAAAGAGAGACGACAGATGGCCATACCTCCTTGAATAGAACATCCTCAGACTCCTCTGGACTCAATTCTGCAATAAAGCATACCAGTCATTCTTTTAATCGCAAGTAATTCATATCTAATGTAAAAATCAAAGACGCAGAATACCAGTTGCATCAAAGATTATATATAAGAAACAATGAGAAAAGAGAGACGTTTACTTTCATCCTTTCCATTAATGGTGTTAAGTCCCTCTCTCTCTCTCTTAGGGAACCCTAAATTGCAAGCTCTCTATCAATCTCTCTTAGGGCACTGTATTTACTCCTTGGTGTGGGAACATGGTAATAAAAACAAACAGGGCAGCAACTAAATAAATAAATACTTACCAAATGCCTCCATAAACTTTATATCACGAGGTGATTTGATATCTGAAAAACATGCATTGAATTATAAAAAAAAAAAAAAGCAAATAAATCAGCTTGTAAAACAATAAGATGAAAACGGAAAAAAAAAATTAACAGTTTAGAAGTCAACAAACAGTTGAGCAAATATGTTACGAAGTAATATAGAGCATACCCGACAAAGAAAGTCTAACAGAACTTGCCCTTCTCTGTTGGGCAAATGCATTCACGATAGCTTCTTCAACCTTCAAAAACATGTTAACTAAATTATTAAGCTAGTGGAGTGCACATAGAATCTTAATTCCAAAAGTGCATCACTTCATTTTCTTTTGGGTGGGAGAGGGAGGGAGAAGGGGAGCACCTTTAAGGATGCAAGCTCCTTCAAACCCATTTCAACTGAAAGCATACTCTCAATATTTCCTTCACCAGTCAGGTCACTCAAGTCCTCAACAAGTTTGCTCCTCTTTTCATTCTCGACATCACCTGCTTGACATTGTATATAGTCTTGGAACGTGATGAATGTGTATGATACGATATGAGAAAGAAGCTGCTATCTATAGTTAACAAGAATAACACCTTGCTAGCAATAATATTAACTGGCTATTAACTTCAATGCATAAACTATTTATGATTACTAGCCTTTTTCAGAAAACTCCTCCTTAGCTTTTTGTCCAGCAGAAACAACCACCTCAAAAGGAAGAGGAGCTAATGATGACCAGTACTCATGCTTAGAGACAGCAATATCTGCACAGATACCTAGAAAGCACAAGCGACAATGTGAAACAGTATGGCCTCAATGATGGATAAACCATACATTATCTTCAGTCAAATGCAATGGCATTATAATTGTCAGTTTGAATATATGATTGCATTCTCAACCTTTCAACAAGTTGACATGAGGCAGGATAAAGTATTCTTTTTTTAAGGAAAAAGAAAAGTTGACAGTAATTATCCATAAAGACTGTCGCTTGATTCAAGAAGATTCAATCAAAAGAAAGTGAATGATGTATATTTCACTCTCAATAAATTTCAAACATAAGTTATCCAGTAACTACCATATCTCGCAGCTAAGCCCCAGTAACGAGCAAGCCAACACCTCTTAAGGACAACTTCTTCCTGTAATTGAAATGCATAAAGCATTTAATCTTCTAATAAAAAGTGAAAGCCTCCTCATATTTTGCAAGAATTTAAGCACATACCATCTCATTTTGAGTCAATACCATTCTTTGAGTCATTGAATGAAGGGCTTTAACTTCAGATTCAGCTCCGTTAAGTTGGCTTACAATGGTTGTCGCCTCATCTTTAGCATTCTAATTCAAGCAAAATTAATACATAAAATAAAGCATAAGGGAATGCAGCATAGAAACAGAAAAGGTTATTATATTCATTTAGAGGATGAGAAGATCATAATATAGGAAAAACACTTGCTGATATTTACCTCAACTTCAGATCTAAGAGACAAAATCTCCTTGTCTACAACATCCTTGGTTTGTTTCGCATCCTTAAGTGCAGCCTGTGAAGATAAAAGAAAAGGACATGAAGAATTCTTCTTTTGCATTATCTTGAAGCTAATATTAAAAAGAAAAAAAGGCATTTCTTATTCTCATATGGAAAGGGTCAAGTTCATCACAATAGATGAAACTCAAACTTCAACTCATTTGTGGTGACGAGGCTGAGTTTTCCTTGCTCAAGTCGACATAAATATAAATAAATAAGGCTAAGGGCTACTTTTTCCTCTGTAGTAGATCCAATTTATCATTTTCGCCCCTATGGTATTTCGCATCAATTTAGCCCTCAAAGTTATTTAACTGCATCAATATTTAAAATATTTACTATTGTTTGGGGTTTTAAGTTGGGAAAGTTCATCACTATTGTAGTAGATCGTTGAGAGTGATTGTTCATCTGCAGTGGAGTGGATCCAGTCCCCTGTTTTGGCTCCTGTCTTCTTCTCTCCTCTAGTTTATCAGATTTTGACTCTTATCACTGGGAAGGTACATTCAGTGAGGTGGATTCCAAGGACGTGCAATGGGGAGGCGGACAGTCTAGCAAAGAAGGGGATAGGTTGATTGTAAGGTTTAAATGTGGTTTTTTATGGTCCAGTGAGTAGTATGTTCTATCAGGAGGAGTGGTTAAGTTTTATGTAATGTATTCTAGTGTAATTGTTAAATCTTATGTAAATGTTTATCCATGGATAAAAGTTCTAAGGCACTCTTTTCCTCCTTCCGCTGATTAAGGAGCTTAATTTCAAGCTCCATTAATCAAGAGGGGGGTTTTTAACGAGGCCTTCCATTCTTATCAAAAAAAAAGTTGGGATTTAGAGTTTAAGGCTTAGGTTTTAAGGATTAGTGTTTAGGATTTGGGGTTTTAAGGGTGTAGGGTTTAGGATGATGCAATTAAACAACTTCGAGGGCTAAATTGATGCGAAAATGATAAATTGGGTCTATTACAGGGACAAAAGTAGCCCTTAAGCCAATAAATAAAAACTGAAAGATAGCTAGCAAGCCCAGAATTAGCCTTTTATCCACAAATAGCCAAATTTTCAATCACCTCCCTTTGACGCAATGCAGCCTCTTTCCTGTAGATGGTAACACAAGGTGTTAGAAAAGTATAAACAAAACTAAAGTGGATAGAAAAAGATATACCTTAAAGTTGTTTGAACCAAAATCTACCTGCTTAACAGTTTCGCTTCCAAAGATACCCCTTCTCCAAGAGCAGAAACCTAAAAACTCAGGAGAAAAAAGGAACAAGTAAATCACCTTTATATGATTAAGGTCGATATGGGTTACTACTGTTGTTTATTCTCTAAAGCCAATAGGAATGACAGAGATGTTCTAAAATTTTGTGTATATTCATCACTTACATAACAAGAGTTAGAAACTCTAAATAAGTCAATGTCGACTTTACATTTTGATTATTACTATGGAGAAATGATTCTTTAAGGAATTTAAACTTCACTTACATGTAAAGCTACGCATTACTTCAACCACTCACTAAATTTAGAACTGAGAAGATGTACCAAGTAAAGTTGTATAATTTAAAAAATCTTTAAGATTACACATATTTTAGCATCCCTAAATTGTATTTGAATTGATCCATTAGTTAGAGCTTAACTTTGAGGGTGTTAAGCACTCAAGGGATTACAAAGTCACATTTCTGAAATAGGGGAGAAATATCAACCAAGGTACCATCCACCACTCTATGAGGATTTATGTGGCATAATTATAGAACATAAAATTATCAATAACACTTCAAATTATTGATTTTCAGATAAGATCTTATGCAAAAGAAAATTATAGAACTTGATATATAACTTCTACAAAAATATGATCATTTAAGTAGTTTTGAGAAATATAAAGTTACTTATTTGAAAATTTAATAAAAAAATTAATTAATAATTACCTGTTTTTCAAGCTCTCTAACTCTAGCCTCCACTTCCTTGCACCTTTCTTCCTCAAGTCTGAGCTGCAACGTTTTTTCCAGAATCATTCAACTACAATCAAATGATATTATAGTACATGCTACATGTTAAATAGACAAAGTAAAAGAATTGCACACCTTATCTAGGACATTCTCATTTTCTTCTTGCAGCATATCAAGCTGCATGACAATTAATTATCAGTTTCACAGATGGAAAATTAAGAATGCATTTTTTCTCTGAATGACAGACACAAACATTTATATTATTAAAGGGTGATTAGCATACTTCATCACGAAGTGCAGAAGCCTCACGATTATCTCCAGTATCTTTTGAGTTAAACCCAATGTCAGATGTAAATCTGCATCCATAGATGTTTACATAGTTAATTTGCTACATAAATAACCCCAAACATACATCTCTTAAAAGCTAGTATTTTCCATACAAACTCACAGATATTAAAAAATGTCCTTTTTGACTGAATTGTGAAAGAAACAATAGAATTATTTTATACAGGTTAAAGGAAAAAGTGATTGCTTTCAAATCAAGAATTCATTAGTAAAACCTAACCAAGATGGTAAAAATTGAAGCAGTCAGAATTAGATATTTGATATATGCATGCTAAAAGACCATAAAAAGAAATAAGAAATACATCCTAGAAATTAACAATGAACAAGTTAATTTGATCATCTATAAAGTCTTATGACAGAACAAGGAAACTAAATTTCTTGACTTTGCTTTTTTTAGAGTCGGAGAGAGAGAGACATTATGTCCATTGCTACATTTTATACCTTTTCTCTGGTTGCCGGTATTTCGGAGGCTCAGAAGGTAGAGATACAGCAGTCCTCAGTGATGTTTTACTGGGGGGAGGTACAGGTGGTGCCATACGATGAGAGATTGTCGACCTTCCGGCTGATGTTGATCGAACAGTTGGTGGTGCTTCCTTTACCAAGTTCCGTGCCAACTAGTGTCAAAGTATCATCAGATATTTCCGGTGACCTTTCCACACAGACTAATAAAGTAATACACCTAGTCTGGAGTTTAATATTAGTAATTGAAGCATAAAATATTCTTAGATTAACCATAATCCACGCTATTATTTTGATTTTATTAACTCTAATTTTATTAACTTTCTCCTAATACAAATCTTAATCGAAAATTTTAAAATCATAATTTATAAATAATACTAAAAATATAGCAACAGAATTTACGACACAGTGCAACTAAAATCAATTTTGTGCCGAATTGTACTCAAAGATCAAATCCGATCTTATTCTTCGCATTTACTAGCTTTCTCCTAATACCAATTCTTAACCGACAATTTCATTTCGATCAAACACGAAATCTGAATTTAGAAGTAGCACTAAACATGTAGAACCAGAATTTAAGCCATAAAGGAACTACAATAAACTTTGCGCCGCATAGAACTCAAAGATCAAATCCTATCTCAAAGGAAAAGCAATCGACAAAAACACAGAACAATAAAAGTTTAGCAGATGGAGTAAACTTACTGCAGGTGAAGGAGATCTCCCGATCCTCGTAGAGTTAAGAATGGCTTTATTACCGGCACCGCCAGCAGTAGAAGAGGAATTAACCTTTCTAGACAGAGCGAGAGGAGGCGGAGCACTATACTTAAAACCTAGATCGTCGCCGTCATCTTCTTCATCGTCGTCATCAGTGGTTTGCGAGGCCATGACCTGAGCCAGCCGCTGAGCCGCAGCTTTCGCGGCGAAGTTTTGCGTGCGCTTGATGATGGATATGCCAGTGGCGGAGGAAGAACGGGCGTGGTGCGGTGGATGATGCGCCGGCGACAATGTAGGTGACTCGACACTGCCGCCGGTGCTCCCCGTGCCCGAGTGACTAGTCCACCGGCGCGTGTAGACGGGACTCTCCGTTCTCTTCCGGTCCATCAAACCGAAGTTGCTAAAAGTGGAGCTTATTCAGCTTAATTTATTCGTAATAACAATAAATAATGATATAATTCAGAAGAAAGTGAGCGATAAGAGGAAGGCAAGCCTAAATCTTGGTGAAAGGGGTAATAGTAGACAGAAGATAAATATGTTTTGAGATTTAGACGGAGATTTTTTTTTTTTTTTTTGCATTTTTTTTTATAATTTAAAGTTTATCGGTTCCGTCAACTGTATCTATGTAATCAGGTAAACTACTGAAATAGTCATTTTCATTTTATAAATGTTCATTTTGTTCATTAATTTTTTAAAAAAATATTTTTTTTTCTTCTCGATTTCAAGGTGTTGCCTTAATTAATTCGGACCGATCCACATCACACACCTAATTTTAATGTGTGATTCTATCAACGTAAATTTTCCACGTACACATGGTCCTAAAATATCTAAGAAACACAAAATTTTCTTTAATTATTAAGGTCTAAGGTTAGAGATGGGTCGAGTGAGGTTGAATTGAGTTTTTAATTTATCTGAATTTGATTTAAAATGTAAATTAATATACCTGCATTTGTCCCACGTAATCTAGGAGGATCATACCTACCTGAATTTTGATCTAAATTTTAAGGTTAAAACTCGTATCCGACTCGACTTGATTTAATCCGATACAAATATATAATTTATTTTTATTAGATAAAATGATTATATAATTGAGAAATAATATAAAAAAAGAGAGTATAATTGCAAGTATCTTTAAATATATAAAAAATAATTATATTATTAAATTAGGTCGAATTGAGTCAAATTTCTTTAAATTAAATTTAAACTTAATCTAACCCGTTATCAAATTGAATTAAATCATAATCCGTATCAAATTAAATGTTGATTTATAATTAGAACAAGTTTTTCAGAGAAAACTTGCCATGTTTTTAAGAACGTGGCTTTTTGAAAAATAGCAATAATTGAGTACATTATGGTAAAATTAGAGAAATAATACGGACGAGTTTCATATAATTTTGATTCATTTTTGAAGACACCAAATTTTGTCTTTTTGATATTATATAATATACTTATATTATATAATATATTTTATTTTATTACATATATCGTATTTACATATATATATTTGTTTTGCAGTCTGTCGGGCCCAAATTCAATACCACATATGGCCCGACAAATACAAGAGGATCTAACAGAAGGCCCGGCTGGTGATCATCAGCTTCCATGTTGAACCCTAGCGCCGCATCCCTTGTTTCCAGCCATGCAAAGACCCCATGCCTCACGAGTCTTCACTGGTCACTCCTCTCCCCCGTAATTCCTGGCAACAAACCACCTTCGTGGATATGTGAGACTCCAACCCCGGAACGTACAACGCAAGGATCTCGGCATCAACACCAACAACCAACAAATAGAGTTAGAATAGGACTCTGTAACCACATCTAAAAATAGGATTTTCATTCCTATAAATATATGTAATCAGAACCCATTTGGGGGACGGTTCTTTTTTTACGAATAGTGAAGAGAAATACAAGCTTTTTTTTTGCACGCATACACACTGCTTTACACGATTTTTTTTTCCTTTTCTTTACACAAAAATACAATACATATACAGAGATTTGAAGGTGGAAAGAAAAGAAAGAGAAAAGGAGAGGAAGCTATACCTTGTTCCCATTTCGGAAGCCCGACGGTCACCAGAGTTCCAAACTTTCGAAAGGTAAAAGATTAGATCTAGGTGTTAGGGGTCGATTTTTAGCCGAAATAAGTTGGGAATCGGGTTAAGGGTGAGAAAAGGAAATTTTTGGGACCGTTTTGGTCCCTGCGACCGCCGTGCGCCACCGCACCGGACGCCGTGGTTATCGCCGTTGACGGGCGGCGTTCCCTTCCCCGGTGAGGGAAGGTTGAGAGAGTTTTAACTCTCTCTTTCTTTCTGGTTTTGGAGAAGAGAAGGAAATGAGTAAAAAAAATGTTGGCTTATTTAGTAAGCCCGTATGATCTGCGCATTTTTAAGATTAAAAGGGTAAACTGTGTTTTAGTCCCCCTCATTTTCATTATATTTGTTTTGCCCTTATTTCTGATTTTTTTTTCTTTCACATTAATTTACTTCGAAATCTGGCCTCCAATTTTCGTTTCGTTCAATTTAATCCCCGGCAGTTTAATTCCTTTATTTATTTCTTTTAATTTTCTTATATTTATATTTATGTTTTACGGTATATACATTTTTTTAATATATATATATATATTATCTATTTATTATTTATGTTCCCTCTTTTCTGATTTTTTTTTTTCATGTATTTATTACTACCATTTTTTTTTATATTTCGTTCTATTATCTATATATACTTTTCTCCGTTATTTTATATATATACATTATACTTAGTACTTCATCATCTTCATGTATATTATATTTATTTACGTATATTACCTCTTTTATATCATTATTTCGTATATATATATATATATATTATTTACTATTATTTTCTTGTACTTTATTTATTTCGTTTTTCCTGTCTATTTTTCTTTCATTTTCATTTTATGTATTTTATTTATTTATTTGTTTTTTACATTTGCTTCATTGTCATTTTGTTTATTTTATACACTGTTTATCTTTATTTTATTGCTTCCTTACCCTTTTTATTTTTCTTGATTTCATTTGTTTTTATTACATTTTTTTATCTAACACGTTTCTCGGCTATTTAAGGGCATATTTTCAATCAATCAAAGGTAAGCAATTTGAATCGGGTAACTTAAATTTTAATTTTAATTTTTAATTTTCGCAATTAAGACAACCAGAAAATTAATTGGTACCGACAGGATGGTTCAAGGGTGCTAATCCTTCCTTGACCGTAACCGACTCCCGAACCCGACACGTTTCTGATAAGACGCAGATCAGGTAAGAAATAGGGTATCCGATCAACCCATTTATTTTTTTAATGATCGGTGGCGACTCCAATCCGCATTCTTCAAGTCGAAGCCCAATTTCACTTTCAACCGAAAGACGGTTACGACAGCTTGGCGACTCTGCTGGGGACAGGTAAGTGAGTCAGGCCAGAATTAATTTCTGGTTGTCTTTTTATGCGAAAATTGTAAATTTAAATTTTAATTTATTTATTCAGTTCCGATTATTTACCTTTGATTCTTTTTCAAATAAATAGTTGTACTAATATTTTTTCAATGATTTCAGATTTTTGAAAAGTTTCTATCTCAGGCTCTATACCCGAGCTCCGAACCCTTTTAAGTGGGGGCGAAAGCGACGCCTTCGTGTGAATTTATTCACCGTATGGGCCTAGCAAGTAACCTTCGGGATTCATATACCTTATGCCTTCGTGTGAATTTATTCTCCGTATGGGTATAAGGGAATGTGTCCTCTCGAGTTTAACTTAGTCCACACAAGCCTGTGATGGGTTTCGGACTAAGGGTCTGGTCGGTCCAAGGGGGCGCCAGCAAGGAGAACTCGAGTACCGTTTTTAGAACCCAAACCGGGAGGCTTTGAATAAATAGAGCCTACCCCAAAACCACATTCCAAAACCTAGGACATTTCTTTCCTAACCTTTTTATTTTTTATGTTTTTTCATTTACCATTTATTTTTATTTATTTTTATCTATTTCTATTTTACTAACGTTTTTGCCTTTGTGTTTGTTTTCTAGCATTTGCATCATTACAAGAGGCTATTGATCCCTAAAAAACGTTTGTTATACACAAAATAATTCGAGTTAATGGACAAAGGCGTTGTAATACAAGAGATTGAAAACGCTGAGGCACGACTATGGTCCGAGAAGGCTCAGAAAGAGAAGGGAGACAGTCTTCAGGGAAACTATGTGTCAGAACTGGTTAGTTATGCCGCTGTCAGCCTGAAACAGAATAATGTCCAGGAGCTGCGAAACATTTGGGACAGTTGGAAGAATGACAGAAAGCAGAAGTTCAGCCAACGATATGGTGATATCGCCCTCTTGCTCCATGTCAAGACTGATGAGCCCTTACTCCGAGCATTAATTCAATTCTGGAACCCGGGATATAGTTGCTTCACTTTTAACCAAGAGGACATGGTGCCTACCATCGAAGAATACACTACACTGCTGCATTGTGAAAGCATCAAGCTTGAGCGAGCCTACATTAAACACATCAAAAGACAGCCCTTCAAGAATGTACTGGCCAAAGTTGCAGGAGTAGATGAGAAATGGGTAATCGATCGGACTCAGCGTAGAGGCAGTGGAGAAGGAATTGAATGGATCCACATAAAGCAACTAATGAAAAACCACCCTGATGAGTGGAAGACCATAGACCTTTTTGCACTGGGTCTGTACGGTTTGATTATCTTTCCGAAAGCTTTGGGGTGCATTGACGCTGCCGTGGTGGAACTATTTGAGCAACTTTCTAAACGAGTTAACCCAGCACCAGCCATCTTGGCCGAGACCTTTCGATCGCTCAACCATTGCCGAAGAACTGGCGGAGGAAGATTTACCGGGTGTATTCAGCTCCTTCAGGTCTGGATTCACAGCCATTTCTGGAAGACTAACGGGGTTGCCTACCGCCGTTTCAGCACCACCTATTCACCTCTAGGTGAATTCATCACCTTGAAATGGCATGAAGGCGCTTCGAAAGAAAAATGGATGAAGGTCTTTACGCATCTTCAGGATCAGGATATTGTCTGGAGAGCCCCCTGGCTATTTCTCAGTGACGTTCTTTTCCGATGTGGTGACTCTGACACTGTGACCTTACTTGGACTTTGGGGAGCAGTCGGGTATGCTCCGCTATTAGCACTTAGACAGTACGGAGCACGTCAGTTTGTCCCAGCAACATGCGGGTTGGCTAAGTCAGAGTTTGAGTATCACGGCGACAGCTATAAGAAGATGATCAAAGAAGCAGCCGATTCGTGGAGGAAAGTATTCCGGATGGATGTGGTAGCTGCCAGAAGCATGCTCACTCCGGATTATGTGGAGTGGCGAAGATTAAGAAAGAATGACAACATCCCTGTGCCAGACTGTGATGACACCCGGACCATGGAAGAACACCTCATGCATGTCCCTTCTGAACTCGAGATAGCCAAGACCGAGTTTGAAGCCGTGAATAATGAGCTGAAGCAAAGAATAAAGGAACTTGAAGCTGAACGTTATCAGTGGAAGCTCGATGCTGACTCTCAGAAAGATCGGGCAGAAAAA